AAACAGACGAAGGGCCCCATCCAATTGGGATGGGGGTCTGTTAGCCTGTTAGCCTCTGAAGAGCAGAGTTTGACCATTTTGTATGTTGTCGCCAAAGTCTCCAGTAGCAGATAAAAGTTGCTAGGTGTATTACTGGGCGCTTTTTTGAAATAATAGTGCTAGAGGGGTCTGAAAATCCCTAAATGTAGTGAAAAAAAGCGTTAAGTTGGTGACACGGCTCTTTGCGCCATTTGTTTTCAAATGGTTTGCTGCTGTCTGTTTGGACCATTTCCAGTAAATGGACTGATCCAACGTGGTGGACACTGAAGGGGGGGCCCAGAGACACACTTAATATTATAAGTATTTTAATGGCATTTTAACAAAAGGATTTTTATCCCAAAAAAAAATTAATGTGCACAAATAAGTAAAAAAAAACATAAATGTAAATAGAGTTTTATGGGGCCCCCAGGAACTTGAGGCCCTAGGCAACTATTTAGTTTTGCCTAAGGGTAAGTCCACCCCTGCCTCTGTCCCAATGTCTCTAAGTGAAAGATGTAAACATTGAAATATCAGCAAGAACTAAACAGGAAATCAGAATAGTACTGGGAAGTAAATACATATTTCAGTTAGACTTAGATTTTAAGTTCAGTATAAAATGTAGATTTAAACTCAAGACTGAATACTGAACTGCATCAAATTATTCTTAAAGTATTAAATCAATGTTGTATGCTGATTATGTAGCTTTCCTTTTTCTTTCTTTGTAACACACTTGTTTACTAGTTGAAATGAACAGGAAATATATTACATGACGATAAGCTTTGGCTGATCTTGTATTTTAACAGGGGGGCTGTACACTTTTAAGAGCCACTGTACATGCCTCAAAGTTGTTATGGAGCAATACCAGAAAGTAGACCCTGTCTTTCCTACCATCACAAATGTAAAAATAGAGTTGCTGAGCAGCTAAGAGTTACAGTGGATCCATGGTAAGGATAAAACAATACAATAGAATATATCAAATATTGAGTAAAGTTGTAAGAAACTATGTTTAAATGCAATGAAAGGTTTTTGAAATGAAAGTCTTTGACTACAGCTGATCAATCAGTTATATATTTCAATCGGATGTAATCCAATTTCTACCGTTTGCAAAAGGTGATAAAACCTGACGAATCTCATCAATGCCGTTGGAAAACAATGCGGCACAGAATGCAGGGTGAAATGTTTAAGAGCAAGGGTTTTTCCCCCTGCGGTGTTAGTGGAACCAAAAAAAGAAGAGATATTGGATATTAGTAGAGGAGGCTATTGAATGGCAGTTCGGCTGGTATTTAAAACTTTGTTCTGCTTTCTCTAAAGTGTTTCATATGTCAGCTGAAACAAGCCTGACTTTCCCCACTTCAGCTTTTAGCTAACAGTTCGATATGCTTTATGCGTCTCCTATACATTATTGGTGAAAAAAAGGAAAGAAAAATCTATGCTCTCTTCTTTATTCTCTCTAAAATCTATTACAGACACGACCAATCCCTGCGGTGATTCAGCTCAGTCCACAGCTTTTTACACCTCCTTTTCTTTCAGAATATTTTACTCCTGCTCGGAGCGTTGAGGTCAGATTTTCTGCACTTCTATTCCTATTGAAATGTCATTTTTGTAAATCAAACAATCACAACCGGTCAATTAAACTCTTAATTGCCACTAACATCAATATGCCACCTGTTCATGGTTAAACGGCCTTCGTCATGTCTCATTACTCTCTCTGCTCTCATCATTGTGCCTCCCCAGATCCCAGACTCCCACTGGGATGGAACATTTCAGCCAATTTATCTTCTGGCATCAAACAAAGCTCATTTTTCTCTGCTTATATGATCTATCTGCAGAACCATTTATGTCCCTTAACTTTTTATCACATTCGGTTGTGTTAAAAGAGTAAATATGTATAAGTCTGATAGGTATTGTATATAGTAGAACTACAGAAATGAAAATGAAGGCATATTTAGAAAAGGTTTCAGATTGTTTGTCAGATGAAAACCTTGTCAGTACTCAAACTGAAAGGGGAAACTCTGATTAGACTTTTTGAACCTGCTAAAGAAAAACATCCCCATAGCCTCATACCACCACTGCTTTATTTTATCCTGTAGTGTGCAATGTTATCTACCTCTTGCCCTTGCAAATAGCTCAAACTGCCTTTGCAAATATGTTAAGAGTGTATAACAATTAATTTGAAATCTTATTGCAGATTTTGTCATGATCTTGGTGCTGATGTCTGATCTGATTACTGATTTCATTCACCTGCCTATCTCCGCCCAGTTCTCTTTACCACTGATCTGATCCACCTGCTTCAGCCTCTATTTAACCGGCCCCCCAACCGGTCATCAGTGCCAGGGTTTTTTGAGCCAATGGTGAGAAGGTTTCCAGCAGTCCTGTGTTTCTAATTACTTGATCCAGACCCGTTCTGCCTCTGGACCTCTGAGCCTCCCTGTCCCCATTCTGATCTGTTTGCCTGACCAGTCTTCGGACTCCTGTTGGATCTCTGCCTGTCTGTGAACCGAACCTAGAACTGTTTCCCATATCCATTCTAGATTTTCCCTTGGCACCCCTTTGGACCTCCTATCTCCAGGCTGTAGCTACCAAGCACCTTATCGACATCTGCTTTGCCCTCCGGAGTATCCTGCCTACTTTTCTCAACCTATTGTTGGGAGATTTCTTGAAAGAAGAGTATCGGCTGGGAGGTTGGAAGCTGTGAATTTACAGTCAGGATGGATAGTGTTGAGGATCCAGGAAAGGAAGAGTGGATTAAGTCTGCTTTAGTTTTGAAAAAGACAAGGAAAGTTTTACAAAGATCTTCTGTAGTTTCTGTGNGCAAATAGCTCAAACTGCCTTTGCAAATATGTTAAGAGTGTATA